GTCGGCCATCTGAGTGCCTGGCTTGGGTTCCTGCCAGGTGTTTACAGAGTGTCAGTGACCGGAGGTGCAGGAAAGGGCCCGGCATCTGCCCAGCCCCCATACACAGGCAGTGACGCGGTCACCCTCACGCAGTCCCGAGAGGCTTGAGTTTTATTGTCAGGGCCATTTCGCAGATGAGGGAAGTGAGGCCCAGGTGGGTGAGGGATGTGCCCAGGGACACACAGCTGGTGAGTGGAGGGAGAGGGGACCGCAGTTCTGAACGGCCCAGGGGCCTGGGCCACCGCCGTCCCCATCTCTAGGGTCTCCCACGGGCATTTCCCTCCCTAAAAATCTCCCTTAGCTCTCACTTGCCCACAGGCCAAAGTGCAAACCTCTGCGGCCTGTGCCCCCAACACTCAGCTTTTTCTATCTACCCCCCCCCCCCATGGACCTGCCCCGGCCCCACCTCCAGCCAGAAGATACTTCTCAACATTCCCAGAACCTCTTTCTCAATCTCCCACAGCCTTTGCTCACAGGCCCCCCCCTTTCTGCACCCCAAGGCCTCTGTCTCTCGAGGGCTCACCTCCTCCAGGCTGCCCTCCAGAGACCCTCTTCCCTGTCTACCTCCATCTCTCCCTGGCCCCCTGAGTCCCTCCTCCCATCTGTGCCACCCCTGCCCGCTGTCCCCAGTCCCAACCACAGCAGACACAGAACTCTAGAGCAGACCTCTGCTGGGCCCTGAATCACGGCCACCCCACCGCACCCTTGTCTCCTGCTGACCAGGCCTCCAGGCGAGGAGCTCACCTCCTGGCCACATCACTCAGCCTCCGGCACCTCAAACCCACCGCCACCCACAGCGACTTCCTTCTGCTCACCACGGGCAGCACCCCCCCCCATGCTGCTGGCTCTCTGAGGACAGGAGCTGCTTCCCTTCAGCCCCCTCGTCTGTGGAACCCCTGACACCAGCCTCTTCTCTCTCGGCACCCCTGGTCCTTCCCCGGGACGGGATGTGTGGCCTCTGGGCGAGTTCCTTCCCCCAGCCAGAGCCCAGAGGACTCTTCTCTGCAGAGAGGTCATCAGGATCTACCTCCCGGCATTGTTCAAAGGCCTGAACAGGATTGTCAGCCTTCCCCTAGATGCAGTCGGGGTTCAGTTACTGCCTGTTCCCCTAATTGGCCTCCACAAGTGCTTACTGAGCCTGCCAGGGCCAGACCTTGACTGGAATCCTGTCCCCGTGTTTCGTTCACTGTGCAGCTGAGGGCTCGTCACTGCCCGGGGCCTCGGCGTCCTCATCTGTGACATGGGGCCATCCTAGGATGCACCACACGGGGCTGTGACAATGAGATCAGCCAGCACATGTGAAGTCCGTGTGCACAGGGAGGAGGAAGGCTCGGCTGTGTCCCGGGCTCAGGAGCTCTGCGGGCCTCAGCCTCTCAGAGCCCCCACCACCTCCTTGGAAACACTGAGAAACGCAGGAGGTTGGGCGCCTGCCGGAGGGGAGAGCTGAGGCCGCAGCCCCGGCCTCCTCTGCCTTCCCGCCCTTCTCCCAAACGCTGTCTGAGCCACCAGGTCTTGGCCAGGGAACGCCGGACTGAGAAAAGGGCTTGGGTGTGGAGTAGGGACCCTGTGACGTGGGGAGAGAGGCTCCCTTCACGGGCCCAGCACACTGGGTTTTGACAACCAGGCTCTGGGACAGGAATCGTCTCCATCTTACGGATGAGAGACGGGGCCCAGAGCGAGCCCTTCGGGACTAGACCCAGGCTTGTGTCACTGCGGAACTGTGCTCAGCTCGCTGCCCCGGAGTGTGGGCCCTGAGCCCTGGGGGCAGGGCTCTCTGCACCGGGTCAGCAGTAAGAGGACCCTGAACAGGCCTGTGAGCGAGAGGCTGGCTTCCATGTCCGGACTGTGGAGCCCAAGGCCAGTCTGGGGCTCTCAGAGGTCCCAGGCAGGGCGGGGGCAGCAGCAGAAGGCGCAGGCCCAGAAGGAGTTAACCGTACGGGGGGTCTGAGTGAATCAGAGGCTCCGAAGGCTGCGATGGAAATTCCCTGTGCATGGCGTGTGGTCACCCAGAAAAGGGAAACGGTGCTTTTCGGAGCTGGGGACGGCGGGGGCTGGAGCTCGGGAGCAGATGCCGGGCTGGGTGGGGCTGGCAAGGGCGTTGTGACCACGGCGGACTAGTCCCTGGGTCTGCTCAGACCCAGGGTGGGAAAGAGGAGCTGTGCAGCTGCCAGGCCAGCCAGGCCTGGTCATGCTGTGGTGTGTCCATGGGCCGAGACAGGTGGATAGGAGTTTCCCAGGCCCAGAGGAAGGAAGCGTGCTCAGGCCGTAGGAAATGCTGAAAACACAGGGATGGGACCCAGAATGGAGAGTCCATCCCCACTGGGGTTTTTTTTTGGGGGGGTGGGACTCTTTGTATTCTTCTAGGGCCCATGGCTAGTGGGACCCCTCCCAACCTGGGAAGATTTCTCACTCCTTTCTTGGTACCCCACAGCCTCAGTTTCCCTCTCAGAACTCTCAGGATTTTGTCACTCTCTGCCTTCCCCACAGAGCCGTGGGCAGGGCTGTGTCCTGGCTTCAGACACAGCCTGCACCCAGCTCGGTGTCTGTGAAATGGCGGTCTCACGGAAGAGGACTCAGAGGCTCAGGGAGGTGTTAGGCGACCATCAGGCGGCAGCTGTGGCTGAGCAGGGCCAGGGTCGGGGCTTTTGCCTCGCCCGGGACTTGGCAGAAGGAAAGGAACGGGGTGGTGAGAGCCTTCCCTCTGGGTGGGGCCCCGGGCTCCGGGCGCACGTGGCCCGGCCAGAGGCAACCATTTGGCAGCTCTACTGTCCAAGGCCTCGAGCTTCAGGCCAGCCCCGCTTCCACCCTTGTCACAGTGCTGCGAGGCATCGGTCCTCCCAGTGTGGGGACCAAGGTCCGAGCGGAAGCAAAAAGGCAGTCGGAGGTGGAGAGAACGGGTCTGGGTGTCTGCGGATGGCAACCCGCCGTGCAGACACCTTCCAGCTGTGTAGTCTCAAACACGTGTTTCCCCTCTGAGCCTCAGTTTCCATTTATGATGGCAATAATGGGACAGCCTTGTTCTGGGGACAGAGAGGTGGCCGACACGCACCGTGAACCATTACGAGCAGTGAGCATTAGTACGGTCCTCTGCTGTCTCCCCTTGGAGTGGTTCCCTGCCGCGGCCCCCTCTAGCCTGCCATTTCCCCCACCAGCCTGTGCTGTGGCCTAGGCCCCGGTCCCTTCGTCCCAGTTCAGCCCTGCACCGCACAAGGGCCTGTGACTCGCACCGGCCCGAAGAGTGGGCCAAAACTCAACTCAAAGACAGTGCGGGCTGGGGCCTCCTGCCCGGAAATGGGCTCCCCGAAGTCCCCGGGTGCCCCCGTTCCTCCACAGCACCCCAGACTCCTTGGCCCCCCATGAAGGCTGAGAGAACCCAGAGGAGTCACCCTCAGGCAAGGACAAGCAGGATGGTGGCGGCCATTGGGGTTGGAGATTTTCCAAGCATGAAGAGGAACTGAGAACTGTGGGAATGTGACTTGGGCAGGCCAGGGTGGTCTGGGCCTGGGTGGGAAGGGGCTACTGCTCTAAGGAGCCCTTGACTGATGGGGTCCTGGGGGAGGGGGGAGGAGGGGACCCATGGGCTGGCTTCTGTAGGGCAGAGGGTCATTGTGTGGCGCTTGCAGTTTATCCAGAGAGAGATGGCCAGGCAGTGGGAGGTTGGGGGGCTGTGTGGGGAAGGAAAGAGGAAGCCAAGGGGAGAGGGGGATGGGGCTGCTGGGGATGGAGTGGGAGTGGGGGCTGGGGGCCTGGAGCCACTTTGGCCACAGCCACTTCGCCCCTCCCGGTTTCGGTTTGTAAATAGCTGCTGGCTCCGTGCAGGCGGGATGGCCCTGCCCCTTCTGTGGCCTGTGTCCAGGGAGGCCCAGGTCTCAGTGGCTGCAGATGCACAAATGCTGGGTCTGGGGACCCCAGGAGGCATCGAGGCTGGTCTGGCCCTCGGCCTGGGTGGGCGCATCCCGGTGGGCCCAGGTCTTGGGCAGCCTCAACCTGCGGTCACTGAGGTAATGCGGCTGAGGCAGAACTTGATGACTTGGCCACACTGGGCTTATTTATAACTGGGCCTCCTTGGGCAGAAGCAGCTGCTGAGCCGCCAACTCAGCACTTGGGCTGGCCCAGGGCACCAAGGCAAGGGACAGGACCGCGGGGCCCAGGCTGGGCCTCAGGGTCTTGAGATCCCAAGACTTCTCGCTTGCACTCTGTCCGTAATGGCCTTGAGGTGTAGGGGGAGCTCCCTGTGGGGCCTGAGTCTCAGAATTGCCTGGACCAAGGGGGTGGCTGAACTCAGCTAGCGGGCTGGTCAGTTCCCAGGGGTTCAGGCCCCAACCTTCCTGCAAAAAAGACTCTTCCTCCAGAGGTCAGATGCTGTCAGCACATTCAACAGAAGCCAAGTCATCTCCCCTCCCCCTTTTGCAACAGCAGCTTCAAAACAAAACAAACAAAACACGTTCGGGAAGAGGGCTGCTCCGAATCCTAAGGCCTGGCCCTCATGGTGGAACTCCAGGCCCCTGACAGATGGGGAAAGGCTGGGTCCCTCCCAAGGCCCCACATCACACCGCAGGGCACTCATGGCCTGGGGGGTGGGAAGGACTGGCCCGCCCCTGCCCTGCAAGCAACTGCCGGTCTTTCTCCTGAGGAAGACTGTGAGGAGGGTGTCAGGACCTCGCCTAAGGTTTGAGGGAACACAGAGGTTCTTAACATCTTTCTCCCGCTTTCGAGCCTCTGGACCAGCCTCCTCACCTACCGCTCTCTCTGCCCGTCCCCTCCACACTCTGCCTCCCGAGCTGGGTCCCGGCCTTCCCACCTCTAAACCTTGTTCCAGTCTGCCCCCGCCCCCCACTGGCATGCCCTTTCTGTCCCCCAAGTCCCCCCTCTGTCCAGGCCTCTGCTGAGCACCCCCAGCTTCGGTGCTCACCCTGTCCCCAAAGCTGAGGAGGTTTGGGGACGTAAAAATGAAGTCCAAATTCGAGCAGAAATGGAGGAAGGATTTTAAGGTCGCCGGTGCCATGATTACAATGCCAAGGAGAAAACCAAGGCCTCAAATGGGCCAGGGATGGCCAAGCCATTCGGTGAACGCAGGACAGAGCTGAGACCAAGGCCACGTGGCCCGACACTGGCCTAGAGCTCTCGCCCCTGGGGCTCTGACCTTGTGGGCCACCTGCTCAGCCTTGAGTAACAGCCCTGCCTGACTCCTTCCTCTTGGCGGAAGCTGTTGGGGTGGGAAAGACGGAGGCCCGGGGTGGGGGGAACTCAGGCCATGCAGCCCTGCCCGGGGCTCGGGCGGCGGGCCCTCTCGGGCTCCTCTGGGCAGAGTCGGGGCGCCCAGCCCGGAGCCACCCAGGCTGCAGCTGCCCCTGTTTCCACATCGACGGCAGCAAGTCCGGCGCCTGAGAAAACAGGAAGCGCCCAGTCACCACAGGAAGCGTGTGTGCGCAGCCTCCCCACCCCCGGCCCATTGCAAAACGCCAACAGCCCGTCACCGCAGGCACCGCGCGGTGGCAGGCAGAGCAATGCTCCGGCCGCGGGCAGGCCTGCGGGGCAGCCCGACGGTAGCCGCCAGCCCTCACCTGCCTCAGCCAGGCCGCGCGGTGCTGTCCGGCCGCGGCCTCGGGGAGCCGGGGTTTCCCAGGCCTCAGGCCCTCATGCCTTCCTCTGGGTTCTCAGACCCATCCCCAGACCGGCCCGAGCCCGGCCTGCCTTGGCCATTGTTTAATCAAAATATGGGGTCAGGGGTCACAGAGAAGCCATTTCTCTGACCTGGCGGTTGGCATTGGAGAACTCTGTGCCTGGCCCTCAGACCCTGACGGGCCCGATCCCCAAGCCTCACTAAGGCCGCTGGCCAGGAGCCCGCCACCCCCACGACCCCAGGGAGCCATCTGCTTTCCAGTCCACAAGGGCCTGCCACACCCTCTGCCCAGCCCCAGCCCTTCCCGGGTGAGCTGTCGCCTGCCCCGGCGGTCCCACCCAGGCTGGTCTCTGGGGGGCCTGGGCCCCTGCTCCTCCTGCCTGACGGCCCCGACGACTCACCTCCCGGTTCTGGCCCCCTGGGCTCAACCCGGGGCAGTAGACGGGGGTCCAGCGAGGCCGGGGCCGGTGCCTGGGAAGGTCTGTGCTCCTCCAGCCCCGGGGACAGCAAGGAAAAGAGAAGAGAGCAGAGCATTTCATGGCTATAATAAATCAAAGGGGGAAGTCGAGCAGGAGAAATAAGAAACTTCCCTACCCTGGGCACAGGGACCTGCCAGGCAGCAGCCCCCGGCGCCCCGTGGTCTTCCCTCCTCCCTCCTGCCTCCCTGGCCAGGGCCCAGATCTGGTGCTCTCTCCTCAGGCCTACGCACTCCACCTGCCCTGAGACCCTCCCCCCCCACTCTGGGCATCCAACAAGCCTTCTTGCTGTGCCCCTGGCTGGGGTCAGGCACCTCTTCTCTCTGGGCCTCAGTTTCCTCTTAATGTGCTCAGAAATTAGTGAGTTCAGTGAGTTGCAATGCAGAGAGGGCTGAAGATAGGAAATGCCCCTCTGGACAAGGACTCTCGGGGCTGCAGGGGGGTTGGAGGCATCCTGAGAATCCCTGGTGCGGGGGAGTTGAGTTAGGCAGGCCCGATGGGACAGGAGGCCCTGGGTCAGAGGCGGGGAGAGCCCTGGACTGAGAGAGGACAGGCAGGGTCTTGGCCTCAGCTCCGCCCCTGCACTCACTCGCACCAGACCAAGGGGCGCAGGGCCTGGGAATCCCTGCCCGGGCCCAGTACGCACCACGGCGCGTCTCCCGTACGTCCACTCAGGTAGAGACTTGGAAGGGAAACTGTTTTGTCTTTTTTTAAAGGGGGGAAGCTGACATATTAAAAAGAAGGATGAATGATTGTATGACTTTTTAAGATAAAATAAGGAACTTCAGAAACATTTTGGCTGGTTTGGGGGCCACTGTGAGCCATGCCTGCTAATGCCCCGCAGACCCTCCTGCAGCTCCTCAGCCTTTGGAGCACAATGGTGGGGACTCAGGATGTCTGTACTTGAAGCCCTCCTGTGACGGTACGCTCACTCCCTTACTCCAAGGGGTCTCTGATTGCGCTACGAGCCAGTTCTCCTCAGCTCTAGCCCTGGGTTTCCCAGTGATATCTCCTACTCAGCTGCCAGCCCGGGGCTCAGGGACCTCAAGAGAGAGTTGGCAGGGCCTGGGACCTCTCTGAGCCTCCAAGATCACCTGCTTCACTGGAAACCTTGTCAGGCCCATAAGAAAGTGGCAGTGACCACCAGCGTCCAGCCTGCAAAGCCAGGCAGACCCAATAGCGCGCCGTGTGTGAGCCTGGGCGGGTGAGCCTCGGCTTTCCGTTTGGAGAACACACCTGCCTTGCAGACCGGCAGGGCGTTCAGGTGGCCAACAGGACACAACAGGGGCCAACCCCACCGACACTCCAAGGCCCCACTTCCTCCCTCCTTTCCCTTTCACCTTCCTGATTTGGGGCAAGAACCTTTGCTCCCTGCTCCTCTCGGCACCCCAGGGCCCCGGCCTGACTCTGAGCTGCCCTGTTTTGCCGGTGCTGGCCCCGCGGTTCCCAGCCCCACACCAAGGGGTTCCCTCTCTGCAACAGAGAACTCAGAGGCCCCAAGGCGGGGCTCTGACCGACTGAGCTACTGGTCCAGGGTCAGGGCTTCTTGGGCACGTCACATACACAGCGTCTGATAATCCTCACAGCAGCTGCAGCTATTCTGATTCCCACTTCACGTATGAGGAAACCGAGGCCCAGAGGCAAAGAGTGAGCGGTGGGAGGTCAGCTGGCCCAGAAGGGGTGGGACTGACATCAGCACTCAGTTCTGATCACCAAGCTGGTGGAAATCCTGTGCAAACCCGGAGGCAAAGCAGCACCTCGTTGTCTGGACAAGGCCTTCAAGCCTTTCGCAGTGCCACTGCTGTCCGGCCGCATGGTCATGGCTTACCCCCAGCTCCCTTGCTCCCTCCCCATCACTGGAATCTCCTGCTTCTCCTGGTCCAGGTTATGGGATAGCAGAGTTGGAAAAATTCCAGCCCTAGGTGCCCATGAGAGCAGAGAGATGATAACATCCGGAAAGGTGAGCAGTCCCCAGAATCAAGGGCTCCCGTGGGCTCCCTGGCCTGGGCATGCACACCTAGCAGCAGCAGGTAGCTCCCTCGGAAGATGGACCTGAAGGGCGGCCTTCCCCGGTAGTTAGAACCAGGGCATCAGTGCCAGGCATTCACAGGCTTGAATGTCAACTCTGGACCTGAGCCACCACCCCACGGTAAGTGACGTTGCCCTGAAGTAGAGAGGAGAAGGCCTGCCTGGGCCTGGAGATTTCGCAGAAGGGAGATCTGTCTCTAAGGGCTCAGCCCTTCTTCACGCATGGTCTCATTTAAGCTTCATAACGGTTCTGACAAGTAGGTACGTTATTACTCCCATTTTATAGATTAAAAAAAAAACAAGGTAAAGGGGTCTTCCCAAGGTCACCAAGCCTTGCAGAAGCTTGAACCCCAGTCCCATGTGCTTCCAAGCCAGGTGCACTTCACTGCCCCAGAGAGGGCCCCTCCTCTTCTCCTGGCAACTGTTCCCTACCACCCCCACCCACAGGCTCAGAGGCCCCAAGCGACAGCCAGGACTGGATGGGAGCGGGAGGGCTTGGCGCTGCCTAGCCCGGTGCATCTCCAGCGCCTGACTGTCCTTGCTCTTGGGCTGGGCTTGCAGACAGCTGCCTGGGCACGCAAGGGGTGGGGCCCACCACAGCAGGGCCTCTCCAGGCCTCAGAGCTGGGCCCCATGCCCTGCAGGCCTTCCAGGGCCTGCCCTCTCCTGTAAGAAGAGGGGTGCAAGCTTTTCCAGGGGGCCTGTGGGTGAGGCCAGAAAACCAAAAAGCTGGACTTGAACTTCTTACTCGCTTGGGTCCCTTCTGAGGTCCTGGGAGTGAGGCCTGAGCAAATTGATACTTGTGGTCCTGGCTGGATGCTCAGTGGTGAGACCACTGGCAGCAATACACCTAGGTCCACATTTTAAAATTTATATTTGTGACTTTGTCATCATTTCCTTTAAGAGGGCCCCCAAATTGTATAAGCATCAAACTCCCCCAAACCTAGCTCAGTCCGCAGACTGGAGGCAGTGGAAAGAGTTTCATCCCCCTCCCTACTGGCTTTGAGCTGGCTGGCTCTGTGACTCGAGGAGAGACCCCCACTTTCCCGTCTGTACAATGGGGATGGAGCCAGGAAAGCCAGGGGGTACAGCAGAGGCAACGAGAGGAGCTCAGGGTACCCACCCTTTACAAAAAGCCCAAATCCACAGAGGCTTTTCACCAGCTGGGACTGCTTCTGTCTCCAACAGCCCTGTAAGGTAAGTGGGGGCTCCGGCCCCGTTTTCCAGTTAAGATAACTGAGCTTTGGAACTGAGTGAGCAAGCTGAAGCCCCATCCCCCCTGCTCCCTGGCTCCCTGGGGGCTCGGCAGTCTCAGACTGCCAAGCAGAGCCCGGGGCTGGGGGGAGGGAGCCGCGGGGCAGACCCTGCCTCCGGGAGTGGGGACAGGCTCCTCGGAGGGCAGGGGAGGAGGCAGCGTCCCGCACTGTCTCACCGCAGAACCGACCTCGGCCCTTATCTACTCCGGCAGCTTCCGCCCCCTACCCCCGCTCCCGCCGCAGGCCTGGCCCGGGCCCCCGCCTCCGCAGGGCCCGCCCGGAGCGCCCCTCCCCCGCGTCCGCCAGCCCCGAGGGAGCGCTGAGTGCAGCGGGCTGTGCCCAGCGGAGCAAAGAGGGGCCTGGCCCCCAGGTGAGGGGCGGGAAGTGATAAATAACTCCGAGGGGGCGGAGGGGCGCCGTCTCAGTCAGGCCTTCCCCGCGCCAGCATGCCCACCCCGAGCAGAGAGGAGCTCCCCTAACCGGGCCGCTTCAGCCAAAGCTGGAGAGAGTTTGGGATCCCTTACAGGCCCTGGAAGAAGGAGGGGCATTGAGGTGGGTCTCCACGAGGGATGGGACTCGAGACCCCCGACCTCCCCTACACACGCGCACACGCGGGGTTCCACGCCCGTCGGCCTCCCTGGCACAGGTGTGGGAGGCAACGGAGGCGTGTGGGACACGCCTTAGAGAAAGTGAGAAGCGGCCCACGAACTGGAGGAGACATCTGCCTCGAACAACCCGAAGGATGAGCATCGAAAAGACATGAAAACTCTTGCAAATCCTTAGGAGAAAAAAAAAAAATGATCCCACAGAAAACTAAATAAAACACAGGACTGGGCATTTTTCCAGAGGAGGAAACGTTTGCCTGATGCGCGTCCAAGGGACGCTCAAGCTCATTGGTGACGAGGGGATGCAAATGAAGAGCACAACGAGACGCTCTTTCACACCGTTCTAAGAGCAGAAATTAGCAGCCCTGGCAGCACCAAGTGTGGGAGAAGAGGTGGAGCCACGGAATCTCCAGGGCGTTGCTCGTCAGAGTGCAACTGACAAGCAGTGGCCAGCGGCAGGGGCAGTGCGCAGGCCATCTAGCCTTTACCTTACGGAGCTGAGGCCCAGCATGGTCAAGGGAAACTTTGGCCTGTGCTCCAAGACACAGGGACAACAACTTTCAAAGCTGTCCTGTTCTTTTTTCTTTTCTTTCTTTTCTTTCTTTTTTCCTTTTTCTTTTTCTTTTTCTTTTCTTTTTTCTTTCTTTTTTCTTTTTCTTTCTTTCTTTCTTTCTTTCTCTCTTTCTCTCTTTCTCTCTTTCTCTCTCTCTCTCTCTCCCTCTCTCCCTCCCTCCCTCCCTCCCTCCCTCCCTCCCTCCCTCCTCCCTCCCTCCCTCCCTCCCTCCCTTCCTTCCTTCCTTCCTTCCTTCCTTCCTTCCTTCCTTCCTTCCTTCCTTCAGGAGAGACTGGGGGTGAGGGGAAGGGAGAGAAAAGGAGAGGGAGAGAAACACTGATGGGCTGCCTGGGACCGAACCCCCGACCCAGGCATGTGCCCTGACCAGGAACCCAACTGGCAAACTTTTCAGTCATGGGCAACGCTCAACCGACTCAGCCATGCCAGCCAGGGTCCTGTTCTTAACAGCAAAAATCTAGAAATAACTGAGGTGCCCATGAGCAAGGAAATGGCTAAGTAGTTAGTGGATTCATTACACAGGGCTCATTATTCAGCAGTGCCAGCAAATAAACCAGTTCCTCAGAAGGTCATGATTGAATCTCAGCACGATATTGCTGAATGAAAAAGCTAGTCCCAGAAGACAAAACCCTTCCTGTGAAGTTCAAAACCAGGCCAAAGCCAGTGTTGGCTCCTACCATGTAATACTTTTGTGGTGGTGGTGGGGGCAGGGGGATGATGGAATTACCCACCAAAAGACTCAAGAGTAAACTCAAGACTCAAGGGTAATACTGAGAAAATATTACAGCCAATAAAAGAATGTAGTTGGGTCCTGTGCACTATCAGCAGGCCCTTCAAAATGTAACGGGGCCCTGGCCGGTGTGGCTCAGCTGGTTGGAGCTTCAACCTGTAAACCGAAAGTTTGAGGGTTTGAGTCCCAGTCAGGTCACATGCCTGGGTTGCAGGTTTGGAAACCAATCGACATTTCTCTCCCACAACCTAGGTAGGTGCCCTGACTGGGAATCAAACTGGTGACTTTGCAGGACAATGCCCAACCAAGCCACACCAGTTAGAACGAGCTTGTCTTTCTTTCCAGAAGCCCACAGCAAGGTGGTGGTGGTGGTAGAGGAGGCCTGTGTACACAGAGCACAAAACTCAGCGCCCCAAAGACACAGAACACTGAGGTCTTTCAGTCTGGACAGACCCATAAGGCTTCAGGGAAGAGGCGGCCTTGTAAACAGGCTGGATCTTAATCCACAGAGACTGCAGAAGGGGAAAAATATGCCCGGCCTGCCAGGGATGGGGTGAGGAGGTGGGGTCTCAGAGGGGGAGGGAAAGGCAGAGGCCAGGCAGGAAATAGTTAGGCTTGGCTGTGCCTGGGCTGCCCATGGAAGGTTTGCTGAGAGGTGGACGGTGGGAGAGGCCCTGTGGAGTTACGGGGCATCATCTGGCCAGGGTTTGGGGTTCATGGGTGAAAGCACCGCAGGAACTCACGAAGGAGCAAAGGCTGCTCTGGAAAGAACAACATGAGAGAGAGTTAGGGTCAGGGGTTCCAGAGGGGCAGGTCCAGCTCAGAGAGGTGGAGGTCCAAGGCCTCTGTAGGAGCACCCGACTCCCTCTTTTCATCTGAGACCTTGGGCAAGGTGTTTGCCAGCCTGAGCTTCGGATGCCTTTCTACAGCAGATGGCTGCCTGCAGACCCTGCAGAAAACCCTGAGAAGGTGAAGGCCACACTCTGGCAGCAGAGGAAATGTGCATCCACCCCAGCTGGGAGCCTCTAGCCTGACACTGCCGGAGGAGGGGCAAGGTTGTCAGAGCAGTGGCAATGCCGGGCTGAGCCGGCCTCTCAGCCACCACCAGGTCAGCAGGCCCAGTCAGTCCTGCCTGGAATCGGAAGCTGAGGCCTCGTTGCTAAGAAAGGCCCCTCCTAGAGGGGCCAGAGCCAGGAGTAATGTGTTAAAGTCAGAACCTGGGCGATCCAGCAAAGTCGAAGAGAGCGGTTTGCGGCCCCCAGCTCCTCCTGCACACACAGACCCACACAGTCAATGTCCAGGCCCACCCCGCCCGCTGAAGTCTCGGTCCCCGAGACCTCCAAACCAACTGATTAATGTGCTGGGGGAAACTTCCCTGTGCTTGAAAGGAGAGGAGAGAGGATGCCCCCTGCGTCTTTAATATCTCTCCATTGCTATAACAGTTTCTTTATACCCATGTGTTTGTACATATAAATAATACGTAATATCTGACACTTAAATAGAACTCCTATATGCTAGGTAAAGTTCTATGTGCTTTATATATATTCATTCATTTAATCCTCACAACAGTCCAATGCAGTATTCATTTTACAGATGCAGAAACTAAGGCATAGGGAGTTAAATAATTTATCCCAGGAAATCTAGTACCAGAGTCTGGTTGTCTTAACCATAACCACAAGCTAGGAGGCATATATGTACACATATGTGCACACGCACATACATGTAGCCATGTGCTACATAACTACATTTTGGTCATCCAGGGTCCATCCACATGCGACAGTGGCATACCAGGTAGCTTAGGTTTACACTCTCCAGGTTTGTGTAAGTATACTCTGATATTCACACATGTATGTGTGTGAATAAGGTGTTATATATAATTTTTTACATAATTGCATCACATAAATGTGATTATATATGTGCTTTAACATATTCTTAAATTTTCCTTTTATATATTTTTCCTCCCCACACCATGTAAGTCATGTTAACACCTTAAAGTGTGATCTTCTATATTTTTTATTTATTCACAATTATATGTGGACTTACAAATATATATATATATCAATACCTATAATTACACGTGTGTATGTGTGTATATATATATGCATATAGTTCCTTTTGTCATTATTTTAAAAGTAGATTATATTAAATATTTTTATTTATGTCTCTTTCTTACTTGGTTATACCTGGAAGCCCTGGGAGATCTAATTCTTTTTTAAAAGATCTTATTTATTTTGAGAGAGGGGAAGGGAGGGAAAAAGAGAGGGAGAGAAACATCAGTGTGCAAAAAATACATCAACCAGTTGCCTCTCACATGTCCCCAAACAGGGACCTGGCCCAAAACCCAGGCAGTGCTCTGACTGGAAATCAATCCAGCGAACTTTTGGTTCACAGGCCATTGCTCAATCCACTGAGCTACACCAGCCAGGGCTAACTCAGTTTTTAACCGTCGCATATTAGTCCACCCACCATGTCTTTCCCCCTGGCCCTCCTGCTTATTGTCCTCTTATAGAGTCCCATCCCCAGCCACAGTGGGCTAATTTCTGTAACCCATTCATGAGCCTGATGGTGGAAATTTCAGGCCAGGTGAGAGGAAAGTCCAGTGGAGAAAGCATCAAATGGCATTTCTGGCTGAGTCCTGCCCATCCACTGGCTGGTATCCAGCAGCCCTCAGCCCCCAGAGGCAGGAATGCTGACTGTATTATTGTGAAATCATTTGTATATTGTGAAGTGCTTTGCATATGATGGAGTGATTTGCATACAGGGCAGAGACTATCTTAGAGATCCCAGATCTGCATCCCTGAGAGCCCTTCTCCCTGTGCAAAGAAACCAACCCAGGGCTTCCACTTAGAACTCAGGGTGGGTACAGAAGTGCATCCTGGCCAACCTATGGGCCTGGTCAGATGAGGCTAACAGGGGGCTTTCAGAGGAAAGCTGATCCCACCTTGTAGGAGCTAGGAGTCTAGACATTTAGAGTGTGAGGTGGAACAGCTGAGTGTGCCCTCATAATCCCCAGAGGGGAAAGCAACTCAGCACAGATGAAGGGAGCTATTGTGGGAGGCCAATGAGGGTCAGAGGCTTGGAGAACCCGACCTCATCACGATCTCTGCCCAAGTAAGTACCCGCCTGGCCCTTCCTCAACAGTCTGCAGTCCTGCCTAGTTCCCAGAGAAGGAGGAGAAGTGCCAACACCAAGCCGGACCCCCACACCCTGGAAGGGATAGGTGGTATCACAGACTCAGGGTTCAGGGACACACAGGTCTGAATCCTGGCTCTGCCATCGCGCCACCGTTTCACCCTGGGCTCACAGTGCCCACCTCAATGGGATAGAATGAAAGTAGACTGAACGGCACATAGTAGGTGTTCGGTAAATTACAGTCATAATACTAATCTTATTGTTTGCTACCCTAGTCTAAGAGGTGAGGCCAGCTTCCTTTAGGTGAGGGGGGCACAGAACCCTTGCTCCCTCGGCTTTGGAGGCCCAAGTAGCAGCGTTAAGCCACCATGCATTGGAATCCAAAGGGTTACAAAGGCCTGAGGTTCCCAATGAAAAAAAACCAAAGCATAAAAATAATTCGATGAGTAAGAATAAAATTCCCTCTTCTGAGGTTCCCGGGTCTAGGCCCCTCCCTGCGGCACGCACTTCCCCTTTCCCTTGTTCATGGAGGAGCCAGGCCGGGCTGACTGAGAAGTGGACGGCCGCAGCCATCCTCCCACTCAGGATGCGGCCGGCCAGCCGGGAGCCGCGAGTCCGGCAGTCGAGCGCGCCCCGTGTGGCCACGAGGGAGCCTGCAGCCGCGAGAAGAGGCGGCGCGCAGATCCGCACGCCCAGCCGCCTAGCGGTTCGCGGTCTCTGCTGCACCGCCGCCTCCTCCCAGCCCAGCCTGGCTGAGCGCGGTACCCCCGGTTCTCCCACTTCCGCCCGGCCCTCCTCGCCAAACCCGTGGCTGGACCCCAGCGGAAGTGCGCTAGGAGTGCGGATCCCCCTTGGCCGTGAAACGGAAGTGCTCCCGGAGAGCCACTCCCCCCAACACCGCGGCGGGCGGCGTTTCGGGTTCCGGACAGGTCCCGTTTGACGTGGCCGCGTGCTGGGGGCGGCTCCGGGCCGGGGGCCGGCCTGCGGAGCCGGGCGGGGCAGGCCTGGGGCGGGGCGCGGCGCCGCAGCTGGATGGCCGGGGCCGCCCGGAGCGCTGCCGCTGCCGCCGCTGCACGGTGAGTGACCGCCAGACCCTCAGGACCCGCGTCCTGGGTGGGATGGACCCGGCGACCCCCTGACCTCGGCCGGCCTGGCCCTGGGCCGTCCTGGGCCGCCCTGGGCCGCTCTGGGCCTCTCGTCCAGCCCGGAGTTAAACTTCCTTGGGCTCTTCTCCCCGGTCGCCCACGCGTCGCTCCCCATGTCTCCCTCTTCTCCCCCTCATGTCTGTGTCTCCCACTATCTCTAGCTCTCTGTGGACTATTGATTTCTACCTTCCCTCTCTTTTCTGACTCTGCACCCCCTCACCGCTAAGTGACCTGCCTCGGCCTCCACGCCTGCCCTGGCCCTCGCCCTGCCCTTCCTCTGGTCCCCAGTGGAGCCTGGCGAATTTTATCAGGGTCTCCCGTTCAAGCCTGGAGATCCTGAACGTGGGCAACTTTTCCACCGCCAGAGGCATCTGCTTTCCCTGCCTCCCACCTCTAGCAGCAGATGAGGAAACTGAGGCAGGGACATCTCCAGCTCAAGGTCACAACCAGCATGAGGCAGGGCAGACCATGTTTAAATCTCATGCCTGAGTTCCCAGACTGAACTTCTCCCTTGGTTGATTTATATTCTCGTCCTGTGATGACCCACTGGGTGGACAGCATTCCTGCTGCCCAGCGCTGTGGGCCTCCCCCAACATAAGGAGGGCTGTCTGTGCTTCCTCCATGCCAGGCACATTCACCGGCATTACCAGGTGCATCTTGCATGCACAGCTGTGTGAGGGAGGCAATACTTATTGTCATGCTAGAGAGAAGGAAGCTGAGGAGGCTTGGCGAGGGGCTTCAGGGACCTGCGAGGTCAAACAGCTATGAGTGCAGAGCACAAAGCTAATGGCAGTGCTCTGAGCTTTTGTGGGGCTGCTCCTCCTTTCTCTTCAGTCCCCCTCCTGTCTGTCTCCGAGCCCCAGGGACACTGGGCTTGTTTCCTGGGAAGAAGCTCTAATGGTCCTGTCCTTGCTCAGCTGCTTGGTTACCCCACCTGCACCTAATGTTGCCCCATCAAGCTAGATAGGGGCAGCCTCCATCCCTGGGACGTCCTCACCAGGGCACATTCTGGCGGCAGAACCTCGCCTGGCAGCCGGAGACACCCGGTTGGGCCGGGCCTGCCGGTGGCTAAGGGGAACCCAGCCAGCACCTCACCCTGTCATTAGGGAAAGTTTAGCCTCAGGCAGACATGCTGACACACAGTCTGAAACGGGCCCAGAAGGAAAAAATGTGCTGTGGAGAAGCAGAGAACCTTTGCTCTGTGCAGCCACCATTTGGATCCCCAGAGGCCTGGGCCAGGCAAGCAGAAGGGCAGATGCCATGGCACATGGTGGGTTGGGAAGGTTAAGATGCTGTATTTCATAAGCAGGTGTTCTGTCAAGGGTGGCAGCTCACATAAGTGGCCTTTGTGTTTTTCAGCACCTGGCATGCCTGGATGTCCCTGCTCTGGCTGTGGCATGGCGGGCCAAAGGCTCCTCTTCCTCATTGCTGTTGCCCTGGAGCTCCTGGGAGGGGCTGGGGGTTCCCCGCAGGCCCTCCGGAACCGGGGGGCTGCAGCAGCCTGTCGCCTAGACAACAAGGAAAGCGAGTCCTGGGGGGCCCTGCTGAGTGGGGAGAGGCTGGACACCTGGATATGCTCCCTCCTGGGCTCACTTATGGTGGGACTCAGTGGGGTCTTCCCGCTACTGGTCATTCCCTTGGAGATGGGGACCACACTGCGCTCAGAAGGTGGGTGACCCTCCTCTGGCCCCCTGGGGTAGCCAGCAGCGAGAGAAACATGCTGCCCTCCATGGAGAGCGGGGTCTCACGTCCTGGCTTACAGTGTGACAGGTGGAGGGTGAGGGTAGAAGACAGTTTCTCTCCTTGGGCCTGGGAGACTGGGGTGCACTGTGCTCATTGGTTCATTCATCTGTGCGTTCCTTTGTTCTGAAAGAGTAATTGTCAGCACACATTCACCAAGAAGCAGTACAGATAGAGGTTAGAAATAGGGATGCCAGCCTGCCTAGGTTCACATCTTGGCTCTGCCACTTACCAGCTGGGTGCCACTGGGCAAGGTACTTAACTCCACTCTGCCTCAGGCTCCCAACATTAAAAATGGGGATAATAACGATATCTACCTCACAGGTACTATTGTGATGACTAAATGCACTCATATCGGTAAAGCTCTGCCTGGTGCAGGGAAAAGGCTGCGTGTTTGAGGGCCCTGTGCTGGGTGCGAGGGTGCAGTGGCCAGCAAAGCACTGCCTTTTCCTTCAGTCTCTGCTCACAGTGCAAAAGAGCTCTCATGCCTCTGGGGCGGGGTCTGGGAGGTGGGGCACAGGTATGGGTGGGGGCTTTCCCTTGGCTACCCTTCTGTACGGTCTGCATGTACTGTCTGTCCACAAATGACATGGAATGAAAAGCCCACAAGATCAGATGGGAGAGCAGCTACAGTTAAGGTGCCTTTCGCCACCACCAAAGAGTATGACACAGTTAGGTTGGACCACGGCCCCTGGAATCTCTGAGACAAGGGCCCCAGGTGCTCATACCCCTGTTCACCAGGCAGAGGACTGCCTCAATGGCGGTGCATCTACTCAGCCCGTCTCGTGTGGCCAGAGAGATCAGTGTAGGGAGGGCTTGGGTCACTAGCTCCATTTTACAGGTGGGGACGCACAGGCGTGGAGAGGTTCTTTGACCCTCCTGAGGTCATGCTGCCTCTGCCCTCTGTGCCTCAGTTTCTTTCAAGAGCTTGCATATGACCCCCTTCAGGCACTTCCAACTCTGGATGCTACAAGTTGGCAGAAGCCCCCAAGTCTGTTACTTTTCTGAGAGTAACAATTGAGAAGAGAAAATTCCCATTTAATGAGTACTTGCTGTGTGTATTGTCACTGAATTCCCACAGGATCCCTATCAGATAGGTAGTTATCCCGACTTTACAGAAGGGGAAACTGAGTCCCAGCAGTAACTTGCCCAAGGTCACCAGCTGGGAGCTTGGGGGCAGCTGGGACCTTAACCATGAGCAGTAGAGGCTCCTCAGTCTATCAGCAGGTCGTGGTGTATTCCTGCTCAGCTCTCAGCTGGGCCTGGGAGCGGGGGACTGAGCAAGGGCCACAGCCCCTGTCCAGCCTTTTAGAGGCTTACATTCTGGTTGCAACAACACAAAGAGCTGCACCCCGGGAGGGGCCCTGGAGGGTCAGCCCACAGGCCCTGCATCTCTGCCTTGTAGCTGGGGCCCGGCGCCTGAAGCAGCTGCTCAGCTTTGCCCTGGGAGGGCTGTTGGGTAACGTGTTCCTCCACCTGCTGCCCGAGGCCTGGGCTTACACGTGCAGCTCCAGCCTTGGTGAGTGAGGTCACAGGCTGGGGGCAGGAGGGGTCTTGGTGGGGGGCTGCATGGCCCAGTGATGGCCTAGACGCTACCTGCTCTGTTAGAATGACTGGGGGAGGGGTTCAGGGCCTCTAGCAGGGAACTTGTCCTGGTCCCTGTGGCACTCCCTGGGGTCCCCCTGCCCCATCCCTATGCTGGACTAGGTCCCATTCCAAATGGCACCCCTTCTACGGCCCTGGCTTGGCCTGGCCTGTCAGTGCTGCCCCTGCAGGTGGTGAGGGGCAGAGCCTGCAGCAGCAGCAGCAACTGGGGCTGTGGGTCATTGCTGGCTTCCTGACCTTCCTGGCTTTGGAGAAGATGTTCCTGGACAGCAAGGAGCAGGAGGGGGCCAACCAGGTGAGCCCTGCACTCCCGGACCTGGATGCCTTGGTCTCCGTTTTGTGGTGGTGCCAGGGCCTGGAGTCTCGGATTCTGGGCTGAACCCTGAAAAAGAGGGTCTCTTGGCTTTTCCTTGTGACCTCTGGGAAGCTGGGCCAGATTGTTGGGAGGGATCTGGGGAGTGACAGCATCAGCCCCTCCTCGGCTTGTTCTCATAGAATGATAGTGACAGCAGTGCGGGAGGTGGGCTTTCGAGTTTGGGGGCGCCCGGCTGATAGCGCATCCGAGAAGTCTAGCCAGACAAAAGGGGAATTCCCTGTTTCTCCACCTCTCGCTTCCCTTCCGTGTCCACCCTGGCCAAGTGGGGGGCATCTAATGTCACTTCTCCCTCCTTCTCCCGGCCCTAGGCCCCCAGCAAAGACCCTGTTGTTGCTGCCGCCGCGCTCAATGGAGGCCACTATCTGGCCCAGCCGGCTGCAGAGCCCGGCCTGAGCGCTGTGGTCCAGAGCATCAAAGTGAGTGGCCCACTCAGGGCCCCCTCCTCCTGCAGCCATCCCACCCCGAGTGGCCGGCCCAGGTCAACCCTGCCTGTCCTGTTCATCCAGCTTTCTCTCCCCTCACCCAGGTCAGTGGCTATCTCAACCTGCTGGCCAACACCATAGATAACTTCACGCATGGGTTGGCTGTGGCCGCCAGCTTCCTTGTGAGCAAGAAGGTGAGTAGCAGCTGGGGCAGGCAGGACCCAGGCAGTCCTAGTGGGAATGAGGGTGCTTGTGTTGACCAGTTGGCTCTACCTCCAAAATAGGTCTCCAATCCATCACCTCTTGCTCCCTGCACCAGCAACACCCTCATCCAAGCCCCCAGTCCTCCCTGCCACTCTCCTGGACACGGCCTTTTGTCCCAAGCCACTGGTCTGTTCTTGATTCGAACACTGCTTGTTGGGATCACGTGCCTTTGCCAGGCTGCTTCTAGATGCTTCTCCTCCACCTACTTTTGAACACCCATACTCTTGCCTTCTTCCTGGCCTCCACCTCACACTGCCACCCACCTTAATGTTCTTCCTCCCACTCTGAACAGCTGCTCCTCAGTCTTTTGGCCTTGGCTTAAATGCACTTCCTCAAAGAGGCCTTTGCTGACCCCTCATCTAATTAGGCCCATGGCACCCAGCCCCCACCGCCCCCACAGCAGCTGTCACAGTGTGTGATCTCATGGTTCTTTGTATGTGTCCAGCCCTGGCCTCCCTCCTCCAGACTGTTAGCTTCACGAGGGCAGGTTCATTGACTGCTGGATTTCTGGTCACCAAATGGTGGCCAGCCAGAACACAGCAAGTGTTGGTAGGCTGAGTGGACAAGTTGGTGCCCTGGCCCCTGGCACAGACCCCCACACACTCCCCTTTCTGCAGATCGGGCTCCTGACCACCATGGCCATCCTCCTGCACGAGATCCCCCATGAAGTGAGTTCCAGAGGGGCCCATGGTCAGCTCTGGGGGCCAGGGGCTGGGGCTGCATGTGGAGCGGGGCTGCCTGGTAGTGGCAGGCTTGGGGCAAGACTTTTGAGGCCTGCAGCTGCTCAGCCCTTCAGGCCTGGGGACCCAGCCAAGGGGGTGTGGGCTGGGGGACTGGCAGGTCCTTGCAGGGGGCTCCGTGTGTGTGTGTGTCTACACCTGAGGCACACAGAGGTCTGGTCCTGCTGGGGCCCAGAGTGACCATCTGGACTTTCCCTCAGGTGGGTGACTTTGCCATCCTGCTCCGGGCTGGCTTCGACCGATGGAGTGCGGCCAAGCTGCAGCTCTCAACGGCACTGGGGGGCCTGCTGGGGGCCTGCTTCGCCATCTGTACACAGTCCCCCAAGGGAGTAGGTACGGGCGTGGCGGGTGGGGGAAGGCAGGTGGTGATCAGCAGAAGGGTCCAGGCCAGGTTCTGCCTCCAGTCCCACTGTGGGGGAGGAAAGGGGTGCACACAGCTCTCTGGGCTCCCAGCCAGGCAGGCCTTCTCCCACTGCAGAGGAGACTGTGGCCTGGATCCTGCCCTTCACCTCTGGCGGCTTTCTCTACATCGCCCTGGTAAACGTGCTGCCCGACCTCTTGGAGGAAGATGACCCTTGGTGAGTGACCCACTGGGACTGCCACGCATGGGGCTCTTAGAGGCTTCTCCCTCCCTCATCCGGTGTGGCCCCTGAGCCCTGGTCCCTCCCCCCACAGGCGCTCCCTGCAGCAAGTGCTTCTCCTCTGCGCGGGGATCCTGGTGATGGTGCTGTTCTCGCTCTTCGTGGAGTAACATCCCTGGTGCCCCCCCCCCCCACAGCAATAAGAGACTCGATTTACTCTGTGACCATGTTCGAGGTAGAGAGAGCTAGTGAGAGCCAGCGGGCCTCTGGACAGACTAGACGGTGTGTGTGGTGTGCATGTGTGAACAGTGGTGTGTGAGACCGACACTGTGATCCCTCATGTGCTGGCCCGGGGCCCAGTGCCCCCGCCTGCCCCCAGTCGCACTGTGCCCCTCCCCTTGCCACCCTGTCATCTTACACCTCCCAGTGACCAGTGAGGAAACAGCAGCACTGCACCCAGAGGTCTCTCCCCACCAGGACTCCAAGGGAACCCCAAAGCTGCCTCCTGCTGGGGCGTCCCGTGTCCCTGGCTGAGAGTAAACCCCCTGCTCGTGCAACGCACCCTGGGCAGAAGCTGGGTGACTTCTCTCTGCCACATCCATCAGCCTGGCCCTTCCTCTGCCAGTGCTAAGGCCAAAGAAAGGTGCAGGTGCTCTAGCAGACCCCAGCCCCACTGGGCACCGAGTCCCACCGTTCCCAGCATGGAGCTGGAGGATGCTGAGACCTTTCCCTCCTCCCTCCTGGCCGTCTGCCCTGGGCTGGCTTCTGTCACCCAGTGAATGCTCCCTGGCAGCACCAGCAGCCCCTGCCACCTCCAGCTGCCAAACAGCAGCCTGCAGGGCAGCCAGCAGCCCCAGGCCAGAGAGGCCTCCTGATCCAGCTCAGGGATGCTTGTGCCAGCTCAGGGCCCAGGCAGACATCCTAGAGGCAGGAGCAGTGGTTGGGGCTGTCCCTCCCTGCTCGGGCCCCTTTTCCTGGCCCACTGGGAGTAGGGGTAGGCTGGGGGTGGTGAGGGCTCCATGCTGTCAGCACTCAGGAATGTGCTCCTGGAGAAAGCTGAAGCCATAATCCCCAGTTATTTCACTTGGCCGGCACCCAAGCGCTCAGCTGGCCCAGTCCATAGCCAGGCTCCAGCCCTGCTGCTTGACCATGGGCGTTCCGAAGTAGCCATTGAGAGGGTCCGGATGGCTTTACAGCAGTTTCGCTGTGGTTCCGTTTGTATCTGTAAATACCTGTTCTATATATAAGATGCAAATAAATACTATACACAAACTTGCTGCCTGTTTTTCACACCATCCACAGTCAAGGGGGGCTTTTCTGGGCACCTGTGCTCCAGCCAGGTTGGCAGCTCCATGGCCCCAGCTGCTGGCTGCCTGCCAGTCCCCACTCACCCCTACCGTCCACCCTTCTGCCTTCTGCTTGTCTCTGAACTGTTACCCTTGTGGTGTTTCCTTCGCTTGTGTTAGCTTTTTGTCCCCCAAAATAGGCCAGGCACTGTGCACTGCAGCCCACAGCACCCCCAAGGGTGGTGTCCTAATTATACAGGCCTATGAGCCAGCAGCCTTTTCTCATCCAGCCTCAGAAATTTAATCGATGAAAGGAGTTCCATCCACAAAGGCAACTCCAGGTTTAGCCTCAATGAAATTCCTTTTCATTAAAAGGAAGGAAAAAAAATATGGACTCTGATCGTAAACCACACAACCTTCACCTCACTGTGCTGTGTAAGGACAAGGCCAGGCACCGGGGGGCGCTGCTTCCCCACGGTGCTACAGGGAAATGCATAAGGGGAAGTGGAGCCCTAGCCACTCTTCCCAAGCCCGACATCCTCCAGTAGCCCGTAGCCCACTGGCCAAGAGCAGCACATCGTCAGTGGAACAGGCTGTGAAGCCCAACTTGCTGCACCCTCAGCCTGGCTGAGCCATTCTTTTCAGCAAAAAGCAATCTGTGGCACCTGGCTGACTTACCCAGGATCTGGTGGATCTGCCTCTGGTCCAACGGGGCTCCTCTGTTCAGCCTCCCGGGGCGGGGGGAGGGGAGGAGGCTGCAGGTTTACTAGGAAGCCAGGGCCAGGTGAATGCAACTGGCTGTGAGGGGGAATGCAGAACGGGGCCAGGGACAACCAGAAGCACTTCGGAGGCTATGCTGGGGCTCCTCCGTCAGTGGCTGGGAAATCAATAGGGTTGCCATTACTTTGGAAGGCCATTGGGGGTGGGGGGCTTATGGCAGAACCATGTTCACAAACACATCACAATGAAAGGCTGGGCCTAGCAAGGCTCTCCCAGTGGGTCTCACTTGAGGTTCACTTTTCAGCGAGAGGAAATGCTCCGAAAGAGCAAGGGGGCACCTGGAGAAACAGGAGACTCGGGGGCCAGGAAACAGAGGAGTTTCAAGGGGAAAAGACCCAGAGCCTGGCTTTACAAAGAAGCAAAGCCAAGAGCCAGAGCACCAATTGGAAAAGGGAAAAGCTGGCTCTCTTAGGGCCTCCATTCTGGAGCACAGCACCGAACAACCTCTAAAAAGCTCAGTGAGGTGGGGCAGGGAGTGGGGGGAGGGGGAGGGAGGAACGGGTGGGAGAGGCCAGAAGACCCCGCGACAGCTGCAGCACACGTTCACCCCCACTCCCTGCCAAAGCCTCACCTTGACAACCAGAGTGGGACCCACAGCTGTCCTGAATTTCCAGGCAGCAGCCCATGGGGCAGGGTTCTCATGCGAACACACCTACTTTTCCACTAAGAGGCCAGAGAAGGTGAGACAGACAGGTGGCAGGGACCTGACACCATCTTTTATTATGCATTTTAACCAACACAGGACCAGGGAGTGGTGGCGCCCGAACCTTAGGCATAGTACTGCAAGTTCGCTTTCTTCTTGGCCTGCACCTCCAGGATGCCCTCCATGTAGTCCTCGTGGGTGAGCTCTGTGGCGCCCCTGCGCAGTGCGATCATGCCCTGCACCCAGGACAGACAAGCTCTAGGGTGCCCCCACAGCCCTGGCCTGGTTCCCAGGGGCCCCAGCCTTCTCAGCCTCTTCCCTTCAGCAACCACCCCCCCCCAACACTCACCGCCTCCACACACACAGCCTTGCACTGGGCCCCATTGAAGTCATCCGTGCAGCGGGCCAGCTCCTCATAGTTCACGTCGGGGCTGTGGAAGGACACACGGCAAAGGGCTCAGTTACTTACGGGGGGGGGGGGAGCAGGTACGTTCCCAGGCAGCGTCACAGAGTCAACTAGCCCTAGGACTGTAGCCAAGTCCCTTCCCCACTGTGCCTTGTTCTTGGTGCAAGCTGAGGGGAGGGAGAGGGACAGTCAAAGCAGATCAGACCTGGTTATTTTCGTGTCTTAGGCTCTAGCCTTCTAGAAACATGCACCTGAGACCCCAGGGGCTGATTCAGGCTCAGGCAGGGGAGCAGGAGGGAGACAAGAATGGCCATCCGTCTCCAAAGTAACGCAGGCCCTGCGTTGGGCATGCTGCTGCCACTCACTGGTCTCACATGCCAGGCACGGTGTTTGATGTTGCCATAACCCCATAAGGTTGGTGCCACTATCTCCAAGATAAGAGAGCAGAGGCTCAGAGAGGTTATACCACCTGCTGAAGGTCAGAGATCTAATGCAGGTCCACCTGGCCTCTAGCTGGATCACCCTGCACCATGTAGGACGGTTCCCATCTGCTGGGGTCAGGGAGGCCAGGAAACTGAGGGCAGACCTTCCAGTCACGGGGAAGAAGGGAGCGGGTGGATTCTAAGAAGCAGAGGCGGCTGTGGTGCAGAGGAGTGCTGTGTGTGCAAATGGGCTGTGGGCGGGGACGGGGGGAGGCCTGGGGAAGCTTGGCACAAAGCAGAGAAACAGACCGCGGTGCCGCTGCCCTGGCAGGGCCCCACGCCCTGCTCGTGGCATCCTTGCTCACCTGACATTCATCTTTCGGGAATGGATCTGCATGATTCGGGCCCGGGCCTCCTCATTGGGCATTGGGAACTCAATCTTTCGGTCCAGGCGGCCTGAGCGGAGCAGGGCAGGGTCCAGAATGTCCACCCTGTTGGTGGCTGCAATTACCTGAGCAAGGGAAGCAGCAGCAACATGAACTGAAAGGAAAACATTTCACGTGGCCACAACAGGCAGAAAGACAGGACAGGGCCAGGTGAGAAAGCAAGGGATATTCAAGACGGACCTCAAGTCCTCGTCTACTGGGTTGGCCAAAAAGTTCAGGACTTTTTCCGTAAGATGGCTCTAGGTGCACTTAGTTGTCTTTAACTTCATTCAAAACAATTTTGTTACACTGTATTGTGATGACTGTCATATCAGCATGCACTTTTTAAAAGAATTATCAAAATTGGTGAATTTTTTGGTAGCCATTTTAATACTGAAGGTGGAACAAATAAGCAACATTTTTGGCATATTATACTTTATTATTTCAAGAAAGGTAAAACCACCCTGAAACACAAAAAAAGATTCATGCAGTGAATGAAGGTGCTGTGACTGATCAAACATGTCAAAAGTGGTTTGTGAAGTTTCATGCTGGAGGTTTCTCGCCAGATGATGCTCCACGGTCAGGTAGACCAGCTGAGGTTAACAGTGATAACACTGAAACATATTTTATGGAAAAAACCGTATGGATCTTCTGGCCAACCTTAGTCAATGTGCCTGTTGATAGTGCGGTGACTGAGAAGGTACCCTGACCTCTGAGGCCCTTGTTCTCCATCTTTAACACTTCAGCAATACTCACCTTGACCTGGGTGTTGGGCTGGAACCCATCCAGCTGGTTCAGAAGCTCCAGCATTGTTCTCTGTACCTCCCGGTCCCCAGCCTTCTCACTGTCAAAGCTGAGGGACACAGGAGGCCCAAGACACTGGTGAGGCCACAGCTTGGTGAAAAAGAGCTCCCCTCCTCCTCCACCCAACCAGAAGCATAACCCAACCTGTGCACAATAGGAAAATGTCTCACTCATGTTGGGGCCCCCAGCCCAGGGAGTAGCCCAGAAGAAGTGTAACTGTCGACTGCTGGGGCGGCTGGGATCAGGTGCTGAGCTGAGGACAACTCGGGAGCAAAACCACCTCCCCCTGGAATAGCACCCTGACAAGCGTGCCACGCACACTGAGCTAAGCTTAGAAACAGCGATCCAGCCCAGACTTGGAGAGTAACAGGGGGCCCAGGCGGGTGTCCCTGTGGAAGTGTCCCTTAGCTGAGATCTGAAGCTGAAAACGCATTGGCTGGGCAACCAACACTGGAGAAGAGGGAAAAAGGAAAAGCACATTCAGAGAGGAAACAATAGGTGCAAAATCTCTCCCACAGCGAAGCCGAGTGGGCCTGCAAGCTGAAGGGGTGCTCTGGAGAGTCCTGATGGAAGGGAAGGCAGGGGCAGAAAGAGCATGAGGTCGAGGGAAGCAGGGAGAGCCACACAGGGGGCCTTGCAGGCCAGGAAAGCCAAGCCATCCCAAGGAGCAATGGGGAAGGCACAGGAAGGGTTTGAAGTAGGCAGGACCCATCTGTGTGAGGGGCTATGTGAGTGATGTGACCAGGTTTTAAAAGAAACATGCTGCCAGATGGGAGGAGAATGGAAGGATGGGGGAAAGCTAAGAAGCAGAGAGGCTAGTGAGAAGAGAATTTAGAAAGCAGAATAACAAAAGTAGAGCTGCATCATCCCAGGAAAGGGGACCGAGTAGGATAGTAGGATTTAGAACAGTTCCCTGGGTGGCACTCAGCACCCCCTTACCGCTTGGTGCCGATGGCATCCAGCTCATCAATGAAGATGATGGACGGAGCTTTCTCCTTGGCCAGGGCAAAGGCGTCCCGGACCAGCTTGGCACCATCTCCAATGAACATCTGCACCAGCTGGGGGCCCGCCAGCTTCAGGAAGGTGGCCTGGATGTGGTGGAATGGGGATTGTGGAGTCAAGCCAAAGGTAACTCTGGGCCTGCAGTGCTCGGCTCTGCCCAGTTCCTCTTCCCCCCTTCCCAGTGCTCACCTTGGTCTGTGCAGCACAGGCCCGAGCCAACAGGGTCTTCCCCGTACCCGGGGGCCCATACATCAGCACACCCTTTGGAGGCTGGATCCCCAAGTTCTCAAACTTCTCCTTGTGGTTCATTGGCAGGACAATGGCCTCCACCAGCTACCAGGAAGAAATCCTGAGTGAGGAGAGTGAAGCCCTGACGGCCCCTACAGCCCAACTTTTAATGGTTTCAACCCCAATCTGGAACCCTTCTATTCCAGTTCAAGGACACTGCGTCCTCCTTCTCCATATCAAGAGAACACAGAATGCTCACTCCCACTGAGGCTGGCA